AGTAGAGTAGAGTAGACATCTATATTTATACAGGATAGCCCCTTCAGTGTAGTAAACACTGGTATCAACGGGGGTCCTGTTACCCACCCATCCCACCCCAGGGGAGGACATCCATCACACAGTAATCTCGTGCGTGGGAAATTAACGTCTCCTGCCCCTAACCCTGCAGGAGACGGGACCTCCATTTATTCGTCCCTATCCGAGAAGACTAGAATATCTAACCATTTCTTGATGTTAAAGAAAGGAAGCATATTCTTCTCAGTTAATTTTAAGACCCTGAGTGTTGGTCCGGCCGGTATTGAACTCTCGACCTCCCGCACAGCAGTCCGGCGCTCTCCCAATTGAGCTAACCAGGCGGCGGTTGGTAAAGTAACATTTCATTTAGGAATTTCTCAGAGCTGGAGAAGCCCAAAACGACCGAGGTTTGTTATTAGTACTGTTTTCTTTAATCGGGTTTCATATGCCATCGTTTGGCATCAGATTATAAACAATCATTGGATAAGATTTTTGTGATATCTGGAATAATCAAGGTCAAGGTAAGTGTTATCAGCCAAAGGCGAAGGCTGAGGCTGACAACACTAACCGAGACCTTGCTTCTTCCTGATATCACAAAAATCGAATCCAATAATTGTTTTATTATATATTGTTTTAAAGAAAATAACGCTAAACGCATCATCGCAGCGAACACCCACGGTTTATTTTCGAACACTTAAAAGATGTTCAACTGTGTGGTAAACAAATTTTCACCTGGGCTAATTCCTTTTTGTCGTGTGGCTCCTGGATATTTTTCTCCTTAAGGTATTCGTAGAACAGTTCCTTCGCCACTTTTGTCGATATTTTAGTATTTTCCGATTCTTTATCTTAAAGTAATTTCTTAATTTCTCGCTGGGTCGATGAAGCGAATCGAGAAGCCATTCTTAGCTTCGTTGTCCGTGAACTTGACATTGCTCCACCGGAAATCATGCATTGCGCGCGCAACCTACAGATTTTTCACTAATCTGTAGGTAGAGATTAGTGAATAATTTGTAGGTTGCGCTGTTTCCCAGAATTAACTTGAGAAGACTGATGGTGACTACAATGTATAATAATAATAGTTATTCTACTAGTGGCCAGGAGGCTTCCAAGGTTGAAAAAACCGCAACAAAATGCGATCCGAGTACACTGTTTCAAAACATTATGACTCTGTCCATATCATTTCCCATGGCCCACTGGAAAATCCATCATTTCCACTAACCCAGATAATTTGCTCCAATAAATAGGAATTTAGATCAATAAAGGTTTGCAAGTAATTTTGTCTCCACAGGAGATTATGTCACCTCCCGTCATGTCAAGCTTCCTCCTAACCATATCAGAATTTCCTGGCAAATAGATCGTGTTACAGTCACGTTTTCTTGTTCAAGCGAAAGTGGGTTTAAGTCACTGGGTAATATACCCAGGAAACCAGTCAAAGATACAACGATTGTAAGGCTAGCTTCAAGCATTGAAAGCAAATCTACTGAGAGAAAAAGCAAAACCAGCTTACAACATCAAGCAGAATAAATTGTAAGAGCTCTACAAACTGACCTTGCTTCTATGAAGACGACTGATTATTACATATATACACATAACTTAAGCAGTTGTGAAATTAAAGCTTGAAAAAAACTCGGGCCTGAACGGGATCCCTATGATCTCTGCGAAACCGGTGCAGTACTCTGCTGAGTATCAAGCCACCTGAGAGCTGGTCACGTTGTGAGTTCGTAATATACCCGAAGGAACAAGTGAATAGATGAAAGATCACATATTTGAACTGTGGAACTGTACCCCTCTCAAGCATAAAGCCTGCCACGATGAAATATGATAAAAATTAACCAATAAACGAAATGCTCAGTTGTCATGGGGCTTCGTGCGTTTTCTCGATAAAACATAGAGCCTCCAAAACAGTTTTAGGCTGAACTGTTGAAGAAAGGCAGAAGCCAGACGAAACGATGTTTCAACCTTTTTGTTTTCACCATATCAAAAAAACTACAAAGCAGGATTAACGAAATTTCGAGCGATCGAGGACGTGTTAACGAGAATGCGAGAATGGGAGCAGTTGCGAAAATTTTCCGAGCACGAGCAAGCGAGCACCCCTGCAATTTTTGCGAGCATTTCGAGCAAAGGCCAATTTTGCGAGCGCTTTTAAATTAAATGGGACCATTCGATACCCCTTACATGTGCAAACTGGTGTCCGACAAAAATCCAAACTAAATGTAACACATTAATTAAAGACAGGAACTCACTAACATAACTGTACACAATGAGATGTTAGTGCTCATTGTCATGTGGGCGTTGCTTTCACTCGCGTGGCTGTTTGCACATTCAAGTTTAATTGGGAATATCGGAAAGCTATCTAACATCGTAGTACATATGTATATTGTATGTTGAGATGAAAATTCTCGATTATATGCACTCCAATGAGCATCAGCTACCCTTACCCTTAAAATCGGTAAAATTCAGCCACAGGAACTCAATGCTGACAATATACCACGAATATGTTACATGTGATGCTAAATAAGAACATTCATTGAAGGTCATGTGAAGTTTGTCGATATTTCCAGATACTTCCTTTAACTGTTCAACACAAATAATGGTGAAAAATATTTACAACAGAATTGCAAGGTACCTTCAGGTGAGCTGGGAGGCGTGGGTACCACTATCGTGGCTTCTTCGAGAGGAGTTCTTGTTATGGATGAGACGTCAATTGTAAAACCGCCTGTCATCCCGTTCTTTACAGCTGTGCGAATTTTTGTAATCACATCTTTTTCTTTGGTGATTGAATTAAACTTCAACGCCATGTCAACTATTACACTGCCGCACCTTGGGATATCAACAAGAAATATTAACGAATTGAAAATGCAAATAAATATATCCGTGATGGTCGTCCGGAGAAGGGAAGTCCATATAGAAGTTTTTTTTTAGATGAATCACATATGAGCTGCTTATGCAGAAGGTAAGGTGTTGGAAAAGCTTATCGCAGAAAAACTCGTAGATCAAAGAAAAATTTGTTCCGAAATATAAATAGTACAGTAAAGTTGACAGGGGATCAGAAATCTTCGCGCAATTGACTACACTGTTCTAGTGATATTTAACCACAGACAGAAAAGGAGACCTATTAAGTTGTGCTTTAGCGAAATTCATCGTGCAATTGCGGTACAACTACATCTTGGAAGAAAACCGTAAAACATCTGATCATAGTCCACTTCTATTGAAATTTTCACCCTCAAGACGACAATTGCATACATCAAGGGTGGGCTTACCACTTGTAGAGAGGGGAAGAAAAACAAAATAAATTAAAAAAAGAGGTTTGGTCAAATTAAAAGCTGCCTAAAAATCTCTCGAACCTTGCCAGACTTAAAATAGATAACTAATGGATTTTTGGCCATTCGATGTGGCGGTAAATCGGGGGTAAAGCGGCGGTAAAGCGGCGGTAAAGCGGCAGAGCACTTTTCCTTCCCAATCTCCTCTCACTCTCCCTCTCCCTAACTTGACAAATGAAAATGCAGCATTCATTTCTTGGAAATAATTTGTTCCTCATCTATAAATAAAATCATCAAGAATCCAGCATCTTTTTTCAAGCGATTGATGTCAGTTTCCTAAAAATTTGTATGGGAGGATACCGGTTACGGAGATTCGTAATTAGTCGTGCGGCCTAGTTAGAAGTTCTACGCACGGGAAAGGAAGTGACTGGCACAAATAAATTGTAGCGGAGTCGACCTGAGCTGTTCAAAGTTAAAATCTAACTCTCCTCTACACATATTTTACTCTCGAGTCTCAGTGTCTCGTACAGAGAGCTTTGCTTCTTGACCATTGCAGATATGTTGCAGATAAGATTTCAACAGACATGTATCGCAACAGCAGGTACATGTATCAACAAACACCGGTGAATGAACAAGACTGAGTTGCGCTAAAGTTATATGTTGAATTTACAGAAAATATGACCCTTTGTTTTTCCTGTGATATAACAGCCCTAATGGGAGAGTTTCACTTGCGCGTGGTCAATGCCAAGAGTTTAGGATACGATTCAAAGTACACAGCATGGAGTTTAAAATATGATTCAAAGTACACAGCTTGCAACTTCCTTTGTAACAACTACTAACAAAACACTCAATATTTTCTAACAAGTGGATGTCTTCAGTTGCACATTTTCTAAAAATATTGAGATTTGTTGGGTCATTTGTAGGAGGCTGTCCTCAGTCCTTCGCGACAAGGAGGAGGCCGGTTCTGTCCAAATTTGATTAATTTATTTTGCATCAACAGATGTCACAATACACTGTTAAATTTGATTAATTTATCTTGCATCAGCAGATGTCACAATACACTGTTGGATTTCCTACGCCTTCTCTGAAGTATTGGTGCACTAAGTTGAAGAACCTGAGTTATTTTCTCTCATGAGAAGTATGGTGAACTCCAGAATTATTTCTGCTCCAGTGTCACAGTTAGCTTTAAACTTGCACATAATTGTTCTTTTAGGTCCTTCATCTATTCGATATCTTACGAGGCAAGAAAAATATTAATATTCCCCTTCAGATTATACAGAAAATGCTGTATCCCTCTTAGCTCCTTCCTCTCAGAATGTTTCTAAGACATTTCGAAAAAGCTTCAAGAATTCGGGAACTTTGTCATGTTCAGGGTGCATCATGTATCAATCATGGCAGCAGTCTTCTTCAACTCCCAAGACAAGAAGCGCGCAACGCATCATGGAATCAAAAAAAAAAGTTTGAACGACCATAAAAGAATAAGCATACATTTAGAAAACATTAGTACTAAAAAAATTGTGCTAAATGGGAAAAAAATTCCACACCAAAGAATATATTTCAGGGCAATACGAAAAATAGAAACTGCAAAACAGAAATGAAATTAAGCAGCGCCAAAATTTATTTTATCAGCTGCAAAATTGCGTAAATTTTAAAAATTCAAATAAATTAATTAATCTTGAATAGAACGGGCCTCCATAGACGCCACTAAAGATTATACATACGAGCATGTAATAAATACCTGTAGCCGTTGAGTTCTGTGTTGTTGTAGTCAGAGTCAGAGCTCTCGAAGATGGTGTCCATCTGCAATTTGAAAAAACTGTCTCACATCGCAAGACAATTATAGGAGAAAAAACAACAACGTCAAAAGGCTGTCAAAGCAAACTGTTTTTTTTACCAAGTCACTCAGCTCGTCCTTCATTGAGCTTGTATCATATTTTCCGTCGGTACACTTCTCACTTGTGATGACCAGGGTTACATTTACTGTTTTTGCTGCTATGGCTAGAAACATAATGGTAAAGAAGAAGCCTATTGCAACAAGCTGTCTTTTAGCATCAGCCTCACTTAAATCTGTGCTGTGTTTAATTTAGCTTTCCACATCCGTTGTAGAAAGCGGTCTCCCTTTTCTGACAAAAAAAGATAATAAAGAAATACAGTCGAACCCATATGCGGCACCACATTGAGTGGTCATCTTCTATTAAGCGGTGGGATGTCCAAAACCTGGGGATTTTTTCGCTTCAGTACTATAGCTTCCACGCTTATTTCAAGCGGTCACTTTATCAAGTGGTCGCGATCACCCTTGACTGTTTCCTAACGGCCGGTCGAGGTTGCCTTTCACCTGTATTTAATGGTCACTAAAAGCAGAACCCCTCAGATAGGATAAATAATCTCTCAAGTAACCTTCCTTCGATGTTTACCTCCCGAAATTAATCTTTGAGTTCAAATGTCCTCCAAGTATTGCAGATTATCTTTCTTCTTTGGGTTGTAAGAACAAATTTTCGCACGAATAACACGCTCATGAGATAACAAATCATTGGCTGGTCAACCCCATGGTTAACCGCTTCATACAGGTTCCACTGTAGTTGTACAGTACATTTTCATTAATGTACAGTGTAAGTAACCTATTACGATGTGGCTTCAGTCATACAGTTGGGCTGAAATCACCGAGACAGTTTATGAATCAAATACAATTAATAGAAACCGGAAACTGCTTAAAGTGCACCTACACTCAAAAAATTTTTTTCGCTTAACGAAGTAAGCTTATTTTTTTGAGTATTTCTGCGCAAAAAATTTTTTTATTTGCTCAAATCTTCAATTTTCTATGCCCAGTCAAAATACGGAAAATCGGCCGCCATCTTGCCCCACGACCGAGTTTAAAGAAGAATGGCTCTAGCGGGTAATGTGACGTCAAATCGAGAACACGAAAGTCTGCATCTCACACATTTTCACTTGTTT